TAAGGCTGCAGAGAGGGTGGGGGAAATAACAGTCAAAAATATACAATGATCAAAACTGAGCGTCACGAGGGTCCAGTGTGAATAAGATTTAACAATAAGAGTCTAAACTAATCGTCACGAAAATGGAGGTCAAAAGTAAGAGTCAAAACTAAGTGTCACAAGGGTCAGGTATAAGGGTCAGCTATGAGTGTCAAAGATACAAGTCAGAAACAATGATCAAATCTAAAGATAACGAGTCAGATGGCGTTAGGGTTAGACATAAGGGTCAGACATGAGAGCCAAAAGTGGAAGTTATGGGTTATAAGGGTCATGAGGGTGAAAATTTTTTTTTGAACATCTGGATATGTATATAATTCTCTATCATTGAAGATACTTTTTTTTTCATTGGAAAAAATTTTGACCCTGATGACCCTAAGTCCTTAATTTTGTGACCCGAAATTTGACTTCACACGTTCCATGCAATTTCTTATCGTTGGAAATATACTTTTTTCAGTTCAAAAAAATTATGATCCTATGATGCTGAAATTCGAACCCTCATAACCCTAAAATTTTTACCTTCATGACCCTCATGATCCTAAAATTTTATTCCAAATCTGGACATATCATGCAATTTCCTATCTTTCAAGTCATACTTCTTTTTTAGTTCAAAAGTTTTAACCCTTATGATCCTAAAATTTTATTGCAAATTTGAACGTTTCATGCAATTTCTTATTGTTTGAGATATACTTTTCTTCATTCTCAAATTTCGCCTGGCCCTCGTGATCCTTATTTTCGACTCTTGTCGAAGGATCATAAACAGAGTCCGGGACTTCGTGCTCCTAAATCCGCGGGGGTGCCGTACATGAAAAACAATGGAAAACTAATTGGAACCAAACAAACGAATGAATGTCAAAAAATTTGGAGGTTGCATTGGAGTGAAAAATTGAGATTCTTCCGAATCATGGGCCACGTGTAGGATAGCAAGATGATAGAATTATGTGGTTTTAAAGAGATTTCACCATGAAGGGGAGTGAAGGTAAAGAGATTTCACCATGAAGGGCTTTAAGAATGACTATTCTTTTGTCCCCTTCTATTCATTTTACAAGATCATCTGGCAACATTTTTTTTCCTTACGAAAATCCGGAATTTCTCCCCGAAGCTGTTGCGATATGTGTGCTCCAGGGAATTTCCCTAGATTTTTCCCAGGATATAATTTTGTTCAGGATTTCTACACAGAATTTCGTCCAGGAAATTTCACAGGATTTTCCCCAGGTAGCTTTACTATATATTTCCTCCAGGAAATTTTTGTGAACCGGAAAAAACTGTTTCTGAAATGATAGAAAATTGCATGGAACGTCCAAATTTTCACTCAAATTTTGAGGTCATAAGGATTGAAATTTAAGATCATTAGGGTCAAAATTTTTTTGAATGGAAAAAATGAGTGTGTCTAAACCGATAGAAAATTGCATGAAACGTCCAGATGAGCAAAAAAATTTACCTTTATGACCCTTTGCTTCCATTTTTGACCCTCATTTCTGACCCTCATTCTTAACTCACACCTCAGACGCTCGTGATCCTTAGTTTTCATCACTGTTTCTGACTCTTATTTTGGACAATTGTATCTGACCCTTACACCTCGTGATCCTTATTTAATTTTCCGACTTTTTCCCCTAATTTCTACACCCTCATCACACTTCTGAGGATCTTCCTTCGTGATTGACCCTCACTCGTAACCGTTATTACTCTCATTTTTACGCTTATTTCGGACACTCATGCTTGATCCTTGTGACCCTTAGTTTGGACCTTTGCTTTTGATCTCCATTTTTGTGACGGTTAGTTTAAACTCTAATGTCTGAATCTTATTCTTGTGTTCCTTATTTTTCTCTCTCATATCTGACACTCATTTTTTGCTGTTACATTTGACCCTTGTGACCGTCAGCTTTGAACCTTCATTTTGAACGTTATTGCTGCTCTTAATTGTGACCCTCACGCTCAAACCTCGAGACCTGTCTTTTTAACGCGTATTTCCCACTCTTACGCCTGACCCTTGTGAACCTCAGTTGTGACCCTTGTTTCTGACCCCCATTCTTGGGACCCTTATTTATTATCCAGACAACTGATCCTCATTCTTTACTCTCACTTTTTTCCCTTGTATATTTTTTACTCT